CGCGGCCGTGCCATGCGGCAGCTCTGGCGCTTGATGTGGCGGTGCAGGTGGTCGGAGCGCGTGAAGCTCTTGTAGCAGAACTCGCACTGGTAGGGCCGCACGCCCGTGTGGATGCGCATGTGATTCTTGAGGTCGTAGTTGTGCACGAACTTGGCGTTGCAGTGGATGCACAGGTAGGGCCGCTCCCCCGTGTGCTTCCGCATGTGGATCTTTAGCTTGTCCTGCCTGCAATGCAGAGCCGGGAGTCAGTCCCCGCTGGGAACGCCAGGAGCCACTCCTAACCCTCTGCCCACTGCCCCCTTCCTCCAGAACAGTCTATACTGCCCTGGTCTCAAACCCCAGGAATGGCACCAGTGCCCCACCCCAACAGGTGTGGCTGTCACCTGGCTCAGTGGGCTGGAGAAAGAGCAGGGTCCTGAAAGACCTCCCCCACTCAGAACCCCTCCTACTGCTGAGCTCTGAGCAATGAAGCTCCCAGTCTGTCAGGGCCGGCTCACAGACTGGACAAAGGCCTGCTGGCGACACACATCCCCACAAGTCAGCAGTCTGTCCTTAGTCCTCCGGAGGAGCAGTGACCTCTGAAACTGGGGTGCACCTTAATCTCACGCCCACTTCCCTCCAGTTTGTCATGTGCTTTGGCCCAGAGCCCCAGGGCCCATCCCAGCCGGGCTGTGGGGCTCCGTCTGTCCTCAGGGCTAACCGGGGAGGCTATAGAAGCCGGCACACCTCGTTCAAGTCTCCTGCATGGTGTTTTCTTATCCCAAGCCTGGGCTCTGCTCTTTGTCTGCAGACAATTCCAGGGTTTACAAAAGAGCCAGGTGCAACAAGAATGCAGCCTAATCCACGAAAGCTCCTGAGACAATTCCAGGGTTTACAAAAGAGCCAGGTGCAACAAGAATGCAGCCTAATCCACGGCAAAGCTCCTGAGGGTGTAAGTGGGATTATTCAGAGGTAAGGAATGGTGTTGGGTGGGGCTCGCACTGGGGGTTGGGAGCCCCTGCTCCAGCTGCAGACCTACCGCTAACATGCTGGGGGACCTGAGGCAAGTTACCTAACCTCTCTGCACACAGCCGAACCTCCGCCCAGGCGTCAATTCCTACTGTCCAGGGCTGACGAAGAGAATGCGGGTTTGTGTTGTACTACATTCAACATGCCTCCTGGTGGTCTTGAGAGGAAAGCTGACATCCTAGGGTTTTGTCCTCAAGACTGAGCCTGCATGAACCAGCTCAAGGAGGGGTTCAGCCTGGCTGCGGTGGAGTCAGCTGGGCTGCAAGGACTCCTCTCAGGATCATTCTGAAGCCTTCCCTGGCCAGACCCGCAGGCCGGGCAGCTCTGTGTCCAGTCTGCCACCTCCACCCTGCAGGCCTGGCTTGGGTGGAACATTTGCCTGTAATTCTTGGCTCGGCTTTGACGTCGGAGCAGATGTGGAGCTCAGGTATCCACCCTAAAATGGCCAGATTTAAATAAACCGCCTTTAACACAACCCCAGGACAGCAGGAGCAGAGGGCCTGGTCTCCTGGGGTCCCTTGGCCGCTAGAGGTCTCACTGGCTCTCATTTTCCAACTGGTTCCTCAGGGGCCAGGCAGGAGGTTCTTGTGTACACGGGCAGGGACCAGGGAAGGGGACCAGACCTGCCCCTTCCCCCTGTGCTCACAGGAAGGCTGGAGGGTACCTGGGAAATGGACATAGGCATGGGGAGTGGGATGGGCAGAGAGGAGGAAGTCAGCTGGCTGGTGTCCTCCACACACCAGCCCCTCCTCTCTTCCACATCCCCTGTCCCTCCCACAACCACCAGCTGCCCCCAGGCTGCATAGTTCCCTGATGTGACATCCCATGCTCCCTCCCCCCAGCATGCTGTAACCCTCGTTTCCTCCAGATGATTGGATGTTTGAGCAGTAAGAAGCCTTAGAGAGCATCTGAGCCAGCAGGCCTCAAACTTGATACTGTATCAGAACCATTACCAGGGCTCAATGAAAGTGCTGGGCCTCAGATAATGTTGGAATTCTGACGGAGCTTGGAGTGGTAAGATTCAAATATTCCACAATATGCCACATGATGAGTAAAAGCAACAGGTTTTCCCAGAGGTGAAACTATAGAAACTTTATAAGCTATCTGTATGCTTTGGATAAAATGACCCAGATTTACTCTAGAAATAAAACAGAGAGAGAAAAAATTATAGCATCAAGGCTGGAAAATGGGAATTGAAACCAGATTATTTGTATCATCGAATACAGATGAGAGGAGAAACTCAGTAAATACTTATGGAATGAGTTATATGTAAATATATGTGTATGTGTGTGTGTATGTACATCGGAAGGAAATGAGGCAAAGCCACACTGAAGACTATTAAAATGCAAAGTAAATATATTGTGTCAAACAAAATTTGGGAAGTGTCACATGTGTATGTGTGTGCCTCTGCCATGTTCTTCCTGGACTGCGTCCAGCCAATGACTGAGCACAGCATGGGGACGACACTTGGCCCATTTCTGTCGGATTCCCTTTGCTCTGTGGCTCTCCATTGGCTGGTCCAGATGTCTCAGAGCTGCACTGCTCCTCGTCTAGGTTTCAGACCTGTATGAGAATGCTTTTCCCTCCTTCATCGCCCATCTTTCACTCAATACATCTATTCTGGTTTCATTTTGGTCTCTCCTTCCCGGAGGACCAATTGACATAGAGTGTTTGCATGTGTGCTGGCTTGGGGTCAATTGGTAGAGAAAGTCAAGGTATACTCTTCAGTGGTTCTCAACCTTCTGGCCCTTTAAATACAGTTCCTCATGTTGTGACCCAACCATAAAATTATTTTCGTTGCTACTTCATAACTATAATGTTGCTACTATTATGAATCATAATGTAAATATCTGATATGCAGGATGGTCTTAGGCGACCCCTGTGAAAGGGTCGTTCGACCGCCAAAGGGGTCGCGACCCACAGGTTGAGAACCGCTGGCTTAGAGTCATCAGGGGCTTTAAATATAGCACCTCATTTAAGCCTCACCACAACCTTATAAGGTAGATTTCTTTTCAAAATCACTATTACACATAATTTGTAGTATTGACCCTGAGGGTCACCCTCAAATAATGGACAATGCAAAGGGTAAAGCTTCTAATAGCCAGGGCCTACTATACATAACCACAGATTCCCCCAGGCTTTTCATTCGGGCATCTAAAATAAATCACATTTCAATGGCGATTGGCTCAAATGTGTGAGAAGTACCAAGAAGGTGGTTATATCTTCCTTTCATAGAGCACCTGCTATGGGCAGGTGAATATACCATTTCAATGACCCTGGAAAGCTGTTATTCAGAGGCAGGTTATGGTGTAGGGGTGGGTTCCCTATTTGGAGTCTTGGAGCCGCTGCTGCAGCAGCAGACCCACCACTCACTTGCTGGGTCACCTTTCGGCAAGTTATTTAACGCCTCTGTACAGAGCTGAACCTAGGGCCAGACATTAATTCTATTGTTCAGGGCTGATGAGGGACTCTAAGTTTGTGTGAGTTCGATTCAACACACCTGGAGTAATTTCCTCACTTAGAGGAAGAGTCGGGCCACAGAGAAGTCAAGCGGCTTTCCCAAAGGTATCCAGCCGGTGATGGGCAAAGGGACCTGGGAGCTACTTGGGGTGTGGTTTGTTTGCAAGCTGTTCTGAGGTTGAAAATAGGTGGATTTTCAAACTGGGACTTTCAGCCCAAGGCCTATAAGGGCTGCCCCAGAAAGTAAAGACCAGAACAGTCAAGATGAGGCATCTGCTGCCAGCTTTCTGCCTCTGGGCCCAGGAGATTGGGACATGCTGCGGTAGGAACTCAGCCCTGGACAGGGAGCTGGCCTAATGGAGGCCTTTTGTGGGAGCAGGGCAGGGCGGTGAGTAGAGTGGGCAAAGCTCATGATAAGTTAGTCCTGGAAAAAAAACTTACAGATCATCTGGTTTACTAAGAGCCTGTTAACAGGTCTGAGTCAGGGGGCCCAGTGACCTGTGTTATGAGCAGTACATTTCGCGGGACCTTGAAAATACTGATCTAATCCAGTTCCCTCGCCTTCAAGATGAGAAAACCACAGACCAGAGAGGGGAGGGCTTCTAAGATCACACGGCCGCCTTATTCCTGGAATGACCTTTTCACCAGGCTGTACTGAACGTGCGCCTGGGAAATGGACGTGGAGGTGGGGAGTGGGATGTGTGTGCTCATTGGCAAGGCTGGGCCTGGCATACTCCCAGAACCACAGCAGGCCCTTGGCTGGCGTGGGCCCCCGTTTCCTGACCTCTAAAATTCGGGCTGGGCTGTACCATTTTGACCTCTGGTGTTCTGTGCTTGCATCTGAGTAAAGGGGTATAACCAAATTTCTTTCTCGTGAGGTGGCTTCATATTTGTAGCATGGCTCTTCTACGCCTGCTTCTTCTCGGATCTAAGCTGCCCTCGGAGACAGCATGGGTGTCGTTGGAAAGTGTTCTAGCCGGAACCTCAGGAGCTGAGCTCTTGGTCACCCCCCGCCAGGACTGGAGGCCTGTGGTCCTGCTTAAAACCTCCCGAGGCCTCCTCCGTCCAGTGGCCTAGGTGCTAACTCACCGTTAGCATGGCTTTCCAGGCCTGTACAAGCTCAGCCCTTCCAATCACTTACAAGATGACTAAGTTCTGAGGATGCCTGGTGACCAGTTAGCAAGAATGTAGTGTGAACTTCAGAGTTGCTAAGAGAGTAGATCTTAACTGTCCCACCACACCCACACTAGAAAGGTGACGATGTGAGGTGATGAGTGTTAACTAACCTTACTGTGGGAATCATTTCGCAATAATACACATATCAAATCATCACAGTGTATACTTTGAACATATACAATGACATATGTCAGTTATATCTCAGGAAAGCTAAGAAAAGATCACCCCACCTACTTTGCCAGCCCCGCCCCTCCCCGTACATAGTACTGCACCCACACACCACGGACATGCGGCTCCCCTTGTACAGCTCTCACATGCCGATCAATGCTGCATCTTTGAACTCCTGCTGGGATGAGTTGGACTTCTAGTCCCCCCTCCCATGAGGAAATGAAGGCAAACTGGATTAGATCAGAATTTTCAAAGCCCTGCGAAATGTACTGCGCATAACACAGGTCACTGGGCCCCCTGACTCAGACTACGAATCAGACATGTTAACAGGCTCTTGATAAACCAGATGATCTCTACGTTTTTTCCAGGACTAACTTCCCATGAGCTCTGACCACTCTACTCGCCACTCTGCC